CGCGGTGGAGGCAGGAGGCATGGATTCCCGGACCGTTCCGTGAAACCCGCGCCATGGCCGCGCGAGGGCCTTCCTCTCGGCAGTAGGAGATGCCTCGGACCCGAGCCCCGCAGCGCCCGGGCGTGTCGGTGTGAGTCCGAGGCCGGCGGGTGGCGTGGGGGTGGGGGTGAGGGTGGGGGGTGCTGATGCAATCGGTTTCGAAAGGAGGAGGCAAGCGGGAGAGCGCAGACTGGGGCAGCGGAGCGGCTGCTGAAGGTCGCTGGAAGCCTCGTTCTTCGCCTCCGCGGGAACCCGCCCCTGCGCCCAGGCTCCCGCCGGGAGCTCACCCGCCCGCCCGCTGCGGCGCCTCTTTCCCGAGAGGCCGCCAGACCTTGACACAAAGGACAGCGCGCGGCCGGTGGACATCCCGGCAGGGCGGACCCTTGGCGGCTCCTCTAGCCACGTTCCTTTTATTGCCCGAGGTGAGGCGATTTAACGTCCCGGGGGGAGCGTGAGGCGATTTAACATCCCGGGGGGAACGGCGGGAAGGAAGGATGCTCAGGCTGGGGCGGGAGACCCAGGAGTCGCCGCACGGCGAGGGAGTGCACGGCGGTGCGGCTACCTCGGGTTTTGCTTTAGGGGAAGGAAAGGACCTGCCCGCGGTTCTTCCGAGCGCATGCCGCAACGCAAAGTAAGAAGGGTCTTGGCTTCGCCTACGAGGAGCCGTGGCTTACTTTGGGGTCTGTTTTTTTCCGTGTGAGCCATCGCATCTGGTGAGGTTGTGCATCTGGTGAGAACCTCACGACTCTGGAGGGGGCTCGGCAGACACGAGGACGAGGCCGCACACCTGGCGGATGTTTGAACCCTGACGTGCGAGGACTGTACTGTGTCCTCCGGGCTCGGGGGAGGGCGCGCAAGGTCCCGGCGGAGTGCGGGAGACCCGCGGGGATCCGGGGGCTGGCCGCCGCTCTGGGAGCGGGGCTGCGGGCTTGCGGGAGAGGGAGCGTCTTTGCCGCGGGGTTTTGGAGCTCCGCGCCCCCTCCCCCCGGTTACGGAAGGAAGCTGGAGGACGCGGGGAGATTGCTACTGAATGCTGAAGGTGACTCACTGGCCCTTCTCGCCCCGAGAGGCCTTTTTGGAGCTGAAGAAGGAGCTAGAGGGGGGAGTCTGGTTCTGAGAGCCGGGATCCCGCGGAGCTGGCATACAAAAGGCCGCGATCTGCGCAGCGCGGGGGTGGGACCGCGCTCCCCTCGGCTCCGGCCGCGTTGCAACTCTCTCGCCGCCCTGAATGTTGCCTCGAAAAGCCCGTAGACTCGCGGGATGGGTGCTGACAGGAAAGCGCGCGTGTGCCTCGTGAGCGCCTGGGTGAGCCGGTTACCCCAGCCGTAATCCACCGTCCAACCTGTCGTCACCCACTGAGAACCCACGCGGCCCCCCACCGGGGGTTCTCAGGGCTCCTTTTCGAGACGAAATCCGCTCCGGGTAGTCTGGGCGGAAAAGGTACTATTGCTTATCGCGGCAAAAGAAATTCCGCGGTCTGAGCTTGGTTGCTTTGCTGGGGATTCCATTCACAGGCGTTCTTTGGCTAGGCAAAGTGGGGCTATAATTGAGAGTCCTTTGTGTCTCGCTCCGCGGCGCCAACTCAGGGCTTTTATATCACGGTGTCTCCGGTGGAAACCCAGCTACAGCCAAGATCACGTTTCTTCTTTGGTGGATCTGAGCTGCTGTGTGTAATAGGAGGAAAGACCCCACTGCTAAGAAACGGTATTTGTGTGCATTGGAAAGACTGAACATTTCTGCTGTGGGTTCTTAATTATATATATATGTATATATATATAATTATGTATATATATAGTTATATATATACATATATATGTATATATGTATATATATATATATATATATATATATGGAGGAGAGAATAAATGGTTTGCAAACTGCAGGGCCCAGAAGGCTGTAATTTGTCACCTTGGTGGAAGAAACTGCAACTCGTGCTTTTTCTGACGTCAGAAGGGCAACGGAAATAAAACCTGAGCAAGGTGGCTGACTGGCCTGGTTATTAAACATCGCAGGCGGGTGGTTATTCTAGAAATCCGTGCAGAACAGCCAGGTCGGGGCAGGGATACGTGTGCCCTCTGGATTTGGTTAGCTCTAACCTCAAAGTGGCTTTCTTCTTCAGAAGCACTTCATTTCTCGGGATGTCGCCTCGGGAAACTCGCCTAGTTTGCTTTGAGACCTTAACCTAGATGAGGTTTATTCGCTTCTTTTTTGCCCAATGATATTCAGAAAGTATTTTATTTATTCTGTGACAGACAGGCAATATAAATATCTGTGAAAGTACCTTCTCCTGGGAGAGACAGACAGAACACACATGTGTCAGAAATTTTGACAGTTAAATGAATGCTCTTGTAAATTGGAAAGGATGCTTGAAATTGGGCACATTTTGGGAGGGTCTCTAGGAGGGTGTCATTGGTGCTGAGACTGGAAAGCCAGGCATCTGGTTCTTAACAAATCTCGTCTTTCCCCACCTCTGAGTGATCCTTGAGGGCAAAAATCAGTTTTCACTGTGGCCCTAATGAACATAATATAATAGCTACTAAATAAATGCATGTTGCATTAGAATCTTGGCCAAAGACTTCTCTCACCTCTTGATAGCAGGAGAAGGCCTTGGGGCTTTGAATCAGGCAGGACAGAAAGTCACCTGTGTGTCCTGGACCAATTGTTGAACATTTCCAAACTTTAGTTTGTTTCTTTTGCTTCAAGTGGGATTGTGATGATAATATGGGGGGGGGGGAGTGGTATCCCCCTTGCTGCGTTATCCTGAAGATTTAATTAAGGAAATGGCTGTCCAGTGTGTGCCTTGATGCTGGCACACATCTGTATTGGGTTAAATGGGGTTTCAGTTTTCTCATTTCTCAGGAGAGATGGAGAAAGTTGATCGGTAAAATTCCACTGATATTCTGTGAATATTTAATCACTTAGAAGTGACTTTCAGAAATATCTTTATGGAAACTACCCCAATCTTTTCTGTGTCCAGGAGAATATGCCTCTATCAAAGGTGGCTTGGGCTGGGAAGCATGTGAGCACCAGTGAATTCATTCAAATCCTATGTAGACTCCGGAAAGGGATGCTTGGGAACTCTGACCCTCAACTGCGTCTTTTGAAAATAGTGCTATGCTTAGTTCTAAACCTTGATCACAGTAGATTCATTGGTGCCCAGCTGGTATGTTTGGGTACTTCTTAACAGTAAAGGAATTCAGGGAAGGCTCACTGGTTTGGGGAAGCTTTCCAAGCACTGGTTTTGCAATCCAGGGACCCTGCCTCAAGTGAAACCCAGAGACTGTGCGTTTTTGCTAATAACTAGATGAATATACTCAGACAATTCATTTAACATTTTTATGCTTCATTTTTCATCTGTCTGGTGCTATTAATAGTGTCCAAGAATTGGGAAGATATAATGAGAACAGAGCTGTGCAAACCTTTAACCATGTCCAGTCAAACCCATTGCTAACCTGCAGGTTTACGAGATGGGTTTAGTTAGTGGTTCTCAGCTGTGACTTCACATGGCAACCTTTAAAAGCTACTCAGATGCCATCTTTGGAGAGTCAGGTATAGTTGACTTGGGGTGGACCCGAGGTATGGGAATAAAACAAACAAACAAACAAACAAAACTTAACACTGGGGTAATTCACACATGCAGTCGTTTAGATTTAAAAACAAAACAAAATTAGAAATTAATCAAAGTCTCCATAGGTGGCTTGATGAAAAGCCCTAATAGTGTGAAATTAGGAGCTTGACCACTTTCCCCCTTATTTGACTAAATCAGTAAGTTGTTGACATAACTCAGTGGTGGCCTCAAGTTACAACTTATAACCTGAGTTTTCCCAGGCACGGAAGCCTGCCCAATGATACAGTCAGCACTGTATAAAAGATTTAGCGTGTGGATGTCAGTTTCCATTTCTTAGTAATGGAATGATGAAGGAGACTGGAAAAGAGACAATGGAAAGGAAAAAGAAAGGGATAGGCTGTAGCCCAAGTTAGGGGAAAGCTCGAGAGACGGTGAGAGAAAATGTGTGTATTATTGATTGAACTGGTTTTGTTTAGGTTGCAAACTGGTGGCTGTAGAAGTAAATGAAGTCTGTGGGTTTTATGTGACTTACATTTTTTCTTTTTTTTCTTTTTTCTTTTTCTTCTTTATTTATTTATTTGTGCATACAGAACTGGGGTACAGGTCAGAGGCTCAGGGGCGGTGAGAGGCTTCACCAGAGACAGAGTGGGGAGCAGAACAGGCAGATCGACGAAGTACACTGCTGAGGGGAGCAGTGGGCGGGTCAGGAGAGGTCTGCCACACCATGTGGTCACCTCTGGGGCAGGTGGGAATCGAACTCATGCGGAAGTGTCCTTAGATTCTCAGTGCTGTGCTTCAACCCTCTGTACTGCCAGAGAGGGCCGTGACTTACATTTTCTCTTAAAATTGTTTGGAATTAGTTGCCAATATCTAAAAATCAGAATTCCATGTTAAATCTGGATTTCTGGCTTTCTTATAAAGATCTGGATGTTCTTTTCTTTTTTTTTTTTTTTAAAGATTTATTTATGCATTCAGAACTGGGGTACAAGCCAGAGGTGTAGGGGCAGTGAGAGGATTCACCAGAGACGAATAGGGAACAGAACAGGCCAAATGAAGTACACTGCTAAGGGGAGCTGTGAGCGATCAGGATAGGTCTGCTGTACCATGTGGGTCACCTCCAGGGCAGGCAGGGTTCAAACTCATGTTGAAATGGCGTTAGCTTCTTAGTGCTGTGCTTTAACCCGCTGTGCCACCAGGGAGGGCCGAGATCTGGCTCTTCTTACTAAAATAAATGGGTCACAGTAGGATCTGGCTTATTTCCACTGGAATAGGTGGGACACGACTAGAACACAATCATGTACTCTGCTTTGCTTCCTTGTTTTTAACCTACCTGGACCTGGCTAGATTTGTTTTTAACCTTTAGTCTAAATCTGGAGATCTTAATGCTGACTGAACATTAGTATTCTCTGGGGAACATTTAAAGTACTTAAGCTTGGATCCCATTTTAGACCAAGTAAATCACGTGCAGTTGGGGCTAGGGAGTATATCACTGTTTGTTTGTTTGTTTGTTTAATTCCCAGAGGTGGTTGCTATCTACATTCAGAATTGTGGGTTACTGGTCTAGGTCACTTATTCAAAAGATTTGTCCACAAAACCATCTTCTTATCTCTGAAAGTGATTGATTATAAAACAGCTTATAGGCCCTCCCTGGTGGCGCAGCGGGTTAAAGCACAGCACTGAGAATCTGAAGCCACTTCCGTATGAGTTCGATTCCTGCCTGCCGCCTGCCCCGGAGGAGACCACATGGCGAGCCAGACCTCTCCTGACCCGCCCGCTGCTCCCCTCAGCAGTGTACTTCGTCGATCTGCCTGTTCTGCTCCCCACTCTGTCTCTGGTGAAGCCTCTCACCGCCCC